TCACTCATATTTTTATTTTCCATGTATAAAGTGTTGGTTTTGTATGTTTTTACAATTTGTTAGGCCTTTAGGTTGGACAGTGTCAAGACACTTAGCTATGACGAGGGCAGTAAAAACACAACACGTGGTACAACTTTGCCAAAATGAGCAGCTCTTCCTGCAGTTTGCTATCAGTTCAGAACTGAACATTAAAACATCTGCCACATTAAAATGCTTTTTGTTGTTTTCTTTCTTTTTTTGATGATTTGCAGCTACTATCATAACAACTTTTAGCTCATTGTCTGTAAATGCGCTGTAGCCATTTTTGTGTTGGCTAAAGTTAAACAGCTGTCATGGCCATTTTTAATGATGTTTACATGAAAATGTAAATAGTTGTAGATTTACATCTAATGTTTTCTTACCCAAAGTTTCACTGAAATCTGTCCATTGACCCGTCAGATATTTTCCTAACAGATATGAACACAGAGACACAGAAAAACGTCAGTGTCCTGAATTTGAGCTCAAATGTGTTTTGGATTCATGTAATAATGTGAATGCTGGATTTGCACTACTGTTTTCATGTTTTTGTGATTTAATTGCTGTTACAGGAGATTATGGAGGATGAAATGTGACTAAAATAATGAAATGTATCATTCAATCATTAAATACATCATTACACAATTAAATATACAATTAAATGATTAAACATTTATTTCATTTAGTCACATTTCATCCTCCTTAGAAGATGGTGCTGTGATTTTTTTTGCTGCTTAAATTCTCTTCAAAATATTTACCAAATAATTTCTCACAGAACGATACTGAGATCACTTTAATTGCTTCAAAAATGTTCTTTTTAGAAACTGCTTCAGCAGATTTCCTCTATTTTTAATTATGTGCTAGCTTTATGCTGCTACGTTTAGGATTTAGCTACCTTTGTCTTCAAGCATGCCTTTTTTTTACCTTGCAGCTAAGCTTTTGCTGCTTTCAGCATTTTCATGATTTTCAGCAGTCTGTCCTCTGGTGTGGTTCCTGGAAATTTTAAACATGCAGCGGTCCAGCCTCTCATTAAGAAACTCACTCTGGACTCCTGTTCTTGCTAACTACAGGCCAATCTCCAAACTTTCATTTCTTTCAAAAATTCTCGAGAAGGTGGTGTACGACCAGCTATCAGCATATTTGAAAGAACAGAACATTCTCGAGGTTTTACAGTCTGGTTTTAAAGCTCTACACAGTACAGAATCTGCTCTTTTTTTAAAGGTTTTCAAACGACATATTTTTAGCAACGGACTCTGGTGACTGTTGTCCTCCTGCTTTTAGACTTATCAGCTGCTTTTGACACCGTGGACCATAACATCTTGTCGTTTGAAAAGCAATGGGGGGTGTCAGCGGTGCAGCACTGGACTGGTTTAGGTCCTACTTAGAGGAGCGTACTTTCTGTGTTCACCTTGGTGACCACGTGTCCTCCTCTGCTCCTCTCTTGTGTGGGGTTCCACAAGGTTCAGTCTTGGGCCCCCTCCTCTTCACGCTATACCTGCTCCCTCTTGGCTCTATTTTTAGAAAATATGAGATCTCCTTTCATTGTTACGCAGATGATACGCAGACATATGTCCCGCTAAATAAAAAGGACTTAACTCTCTGGCTCCTCTGTTATAATGTCTGGAGGACATAAAAGCCTGGATGACTGTGAACTTCTTAAAGTTTAATGAGGCAAAGACTGAGGTGATGGTCTTTGGAAGCTTCACTGAGACTCCCAATGTCAATGATGGTTCTTTGGCCCAGTATATCAGGACAATTATTACAAACTTGGGGGTCAAAGTCGATGCTGGACTAAAATTAGAAAACCACGTCAGAGCAGTTGTTAAAACTAGTTTTTTTCTATCTGAGGCAGCTGGCTAAGGTGAAGCCAATTCTGTCTAAGCAGCATTTAAAAACAGTAGTTCACGCCTTTGTGACCACTCGACTGGACTACTGTAATGCACTCTATACAGGAATCAGTGTTTCAGGACGCTGCTGCACGGCTTTTAACTGGCACACAAAAGTTTGACCACATTTCTCCTGTTTTAGCCTCCATGCACTGGCTGCCAGTACATTCCAGGATTAATTTTAAAATTCTTTTATTTGCTTTTAAAGCTCTTAATGGACTTGCCCCGCCCTATCTGTCCGAGTTGCTGCATCCGTACACATCCTCTCGACCCCTCAGATCATGTGATCAGCTGCTCCTGAGTGTGCCAAAGACGAAGCGTAAGCTCAGAGGAGACCGTGCTTTTACTGTGGCAGCTCCTAAACTGTGGAACGACCTTGAACATCAGACAGGTCTCTTCCCCGTCTGTTTTTAAATCTCTTCTTAAACCCATCTCTTCTCTGTGGCCTTTGACACCATCTGTGATGTTGACTTTTAATTATTTTAATCGCTTGTATTATCTGATTGTATGATTGTTTTTTTTTTACAAACCTTTTATTATGTGACTTCTAATCATTTTTAATAATTTTTATTATCTGACTATGATTGTTTGGTTGTGTGTACAGCACTTTGGTCCTGTAGGTGTTTAATGTGCTCTATAAATAAAGCTGGTATGATATTTTTGCTTAGCCTTTTGCTACTTTCAAGTTTTAGCTGCTGTTTTTCAGTTTTTAACCAGGGTTTTTTCCCCCTACAAACATTTAGCTATTTTTAGCTAGTGTCAATAACTTAACTATGTATATAACTGTCAATAACTAACTCAATTTGCTGCTTATAGTTCTTTTGGCTTTTCACTTACACATTTAGCTTTAAGCTAGGGATTGGCTACTTTTAACTTTTAGCTAATAATGGGTTACGTTAACCACTACACTAGCTAATCCAACATTTTTCAGTCAGGTCATCTGGACAGTTTCTTTTTTTTGTGCTGAAACGTTTCGCCTTCGATCCGGAAGTCTTCATCAGTCAAGGAAACACAACAAAACTGATTCTTCTTCCAACAGCTTACTCCAAAGTGGAACAAACCAGTTCTGCTTGTGATAAGATGGTCTCTTTGGTACGGCCCCTCCTCCATTGCCAGCCCGCTTCCTTGTTGACAGTCTTGTCAAACTGGTTGAAAACAACAAAGTCCATGCTCAATAATCCAGGTATAAAATCCAACATTTTTTAGTCAGGTCATCTGGACAGTTTCTTTTTTTTGTGCTGAAATGTTTCGCCTTCGATCCGGAAGGCTTCATCAGTCAAGGAAACACAACGTTTCAGCACAAAAAAAAGAAACTGTCCAGATGACCTGACTGAAAAATGTTGGATTTTATACCTGGATTATTGAGCATGGACTTTGTTACACTAGCTAATGTTCTGCTTTTTAGTATTGCAACTTTGCTTTTAGTTATGGTAGTTATTTGCTACCTTTTAGCTGATGTTCAGGTTTTTTATATAGTGTTGTACCACGGTCAGTTTTTAGCTGGTGTTATGCTTTTTAGTTTTTTTAGCCAGTGCTTTGCCACATTTTGCTTTTAGCTATTAATTTGCAGCTTTTAGCTAGTGTTCTGCTTTTTGAGTTTATGCCAGTGTTTTGCTATTTTTGGCTTTTAGCTAGTGTTGTGGTACCTTTAGCTTTTAAGTGTTTTGCTTTTTTGCAGGTGCTTTGTTAATTATAGCAATTAGCTAACATTTTGCTACTTTTAGCTTGTGGTGTAACTTTTACTTAGTGATGTGATACTTTTATAATTTAGCTAGTATTTTACTAACTGTCAATAAGCTAGTTATTTGCTACTTTTAGTTATTTTGGCCTTTCTCTTACACTTTTAACTTTAAGTGAGTGACTTGCTACTTTCAGCTAGTATGCTACTTTAAGCACAGCACTAGCTAATGTTCTGTTTTTTTTTTTTTTTTTTAGCAAGTATTTTGCAACTTTTTATTTGGTTATTTGCAGCTTTTAGTTGAAGTTCGGCTTTTTATAGTGTTGTGCCACCTTTAGTTTTTAGCTGGTGTTACTTTGTATGTTTTTAACCAGTGTTTTGCCATTTTTTTGCTTTTAACTAGTGTTCTTTTTTATGCTAGTGTTTTGCTATTTTTGGCTTTTAATATTGTGCTACCTTTAGCTTTTAGCAAGTGTTTAGCTTTTTTTAAGCAGGTGTATTTGCTCATTCTAGCAATTAGCTAACATTTTGCTACTTTTAGCTTGTGTTGTAACTTTTAGCTCGTGATTTGATATTTTAGCATTTAGCTAGTGTTTTGGTTCCCATCCGCAGTCACGCCTCACTTTATCCGACGCATGCGCACTACAGATGTAGGAGTCCGGAGACAGACAAGATTCAGGAAGTTTACGTTCGTCCCACAGCTGAACTCATCAGACATGTCAACATCTGCCTCACAGTCCGGTAAGAGAAGTCCTGCTTTGGTTTCCATGTGGTATCAGAGACCCTGAACGTGTGAGTCGGTGGTGGTAGAAAAATAAATAAAAAGTAGCTGCGTGTTTTCCTGTTTCTGCGGTTTGCCATGAGAGAAAAACGCAGCTGCGACGGGCGACGTCTGTTCTAGGAAAAGTCGGAGCGGACAGGGTGGTGACACACATGACTGCAGTCGGAATCGAGTCACCGCACAGCTCTGTACAGTTTAACATTGGAGTTAGTCTCGCTGTGTGAGCTCCTCTCCTGTTTTCGACAACAACACAATGAATAAACTGCTGCTTTGCAGAGCTGAGGCTGGTGGTTCTGGGCCCCAGACAGGCAGGAACCAGGCCCGCGGTTTGCTCCATCCTGGGCCTGGAGGACCAGGACTCGGATGTGGGTTCTGTTCCGGAGTGCACCAAACACAGAGGAGAGGCTGCTGGCAGCCAGGTAGGAACAAGGAGCACAATCTGAAGAACAAAGTGTTAGTTTGAAACTATACTCTTATTAAAGTCATGCATATGAACAGTTAATATCTTACCTGTTGGGGATGTGCAAATGCTAATCATGCTCACATATTGGACTTGTCTAAAACCAACCATTTCAGACCCTATTCTGAGCCTGTGCTGGGTTATAAGAGAGATCCAGGGGATCCCAGAATAAAGCTGCTGCTGGACCTTAGTGGTTTAGTGCATCTCTTCCAAACATTGTGAGCTACACGTAAACAAAACATTGCAAGGCTTAGGCTGAAATGTGACCCTGCAGGGCCAGAGTGTTGGCAGGACACAATGGAAGAAATGTGCAGGTGCATCTAAAAAAAAATAGAGTATCATCAAAAAGTTTTTGTGTTACCACTTGTTCTTGTTAAAAATAGAAACTAAGTAAAAAAAAAAAAAAAAAATTTGTCTATCATTTCAGAAAGTGAAGCACATTATATATGTTTATTACACACAGAGTGAATATTTCAAGCCTTTATTTTGTGTGATTTTGATGATTATGACTAACATAATGAAAAACAGAATTCAGTGTCTCAGAAAATGTGAATGTTTTGAATAAGTTTGTTATTATAAACTCCTGGTGTCTCACCCTGATCAGCTGATTAACTCCTGGACATGAGCTACAAAATGTCTCATTCCTCCAGTCAAAGCACGCCCGAACCGGAGACATCAGCACCTGCTGAGGAGACAAACATCTGGACTGACTCTCAGTGGTCCAATGTCCTCTTTTCAGATGAAAGGAAATGTTCATGTCATTTGTAAATCAAAGTCTGGAGGACGAGCGAAGAGGAACAGAATCCACGTTGTTAAAGTCCAGAAGTGAAGTTTCCACAGTCGGTGATGGTTTGGGTCCATGTCCTCTGCTGGTGCTGGTCCACTGTGTTTTCTGAAGTCCAGTCCACGCAGCATCTACCAGGACATTTTAGAGACTTCCTGCTTCTTTCTGCTGACGAGCTTTATGGAGATGCTGGTTTCATTTCCAGCAGGTCCACACCAACAAAGGGACCAAAAGCTGCTGTGGAATATTCTCATTTTCTGACATACGCACTTTTTTTTTTTTTGTAAGATCAAAATGACAAGAAATAAAGTCTTGAAATATTTCACTCTGTGTAATTAATCTATAAAGAGTTTCACTTTCTGAAATGAAAAAAAAAAAACCAACTAATTTTCTGTCGATGCTTCTGCACTTCATGAAAAAACCAAAACATTTTCATTTATAGATGAACTCCATAATACACATAAATTTATGGAAAACATGGACTGTGCACAGATTACAGATTGGACATTATAATCTAGAAGAAACGGCTTAGTGACACCATAATGTGGACAGTGTCCCTTTGCTTTGTGTCACTTCTGTTTTTCTTCTGTTCATGTTTTTGTTTTATTTATTGTTAAACAAAAAAAAAACCCTGTTCTTCCAAACTGTGGCTATCTATGACAGGTAAGACATTACTTGTCCACCTATCCCAGTCTTTCTTAAATAGTGGGATGCGCCCTCCTGTGGGGGGCCCGGGGCAATGCCTGGGGGGGGGGTAAAGAGTAAACTCAAAGTGAGAGCGACACCTGCCCCCTCTTTCCTCTTCTGCGTTGACAAAATGTTTTAGTTTTATCGATGAGTTTGTCAAAGCACAGTTTACAGAAGTAATGTTTAACAAATGTTAGGACTTTATTCTTTGCTAACAAAATATATTCACCTCCTCAGTTAAGCTGCTGTTTTTATGACGCTCTTGTGGAAGTCGGCAGAAAGAGACGAAAAATATCACGAGTCTCGATTTATTCTCTGCGTCTTCCAGCATCAAACTCAGACAAACGAATGATTTACGACCGTTGATCTGCTCTTTTTATAATCTGTCCCTTTCACAATAAGAGCACATTCTGACGTGAAATATACACATTTGTGTCCGCCACGCTCTGGACGTTTGTCACCCACAGCTCGCAGGCGACAAAGAGTAAAGTCAAAGCGAGAGCGACACCTGCCCCCTCTTTCCTCTTTCGTGCTGACAATTTTTTTTTTTAGTTTTATCGATGAGTGTGCTCATTGATCCTGACTTCCTCATTTTGATTTAAAAAAAAAAACAGCACAAATTATAGCACTCCTGAGTTAAAATGTTGCTGATCAATTTGAATTTAATATTATTTATTGATATTTTATTTTATTTTTCAGTATCAAATGGTCAAAACTGCTTAGTTGAAATAAAGATTTAAGTGTTTTTTTTTTTTTCAGGTAAATGATGCACTTTAAGTTGTTTCTGTTACAGACTAAAAAAAACAATGTTAATAAAGTTATTGTTCATTGTAAGTTGATCTATATTCCTCTTTTTTATGCTATTAAAGACACAGTGTTATGCAGAGGTGTACTTATAACAATTTTATAGACAAATAATACTATTTACAGTCGCGGTGGAGAGTTGTGGGGGTGTAACTGAAAATAATTGAGAAGCACTGACCTAACTCCACATTAAAAGATCTGACCCATTCTTCTTGGTGTTTAGCTGCTTGCAGCATGACACCAGTAATACTTTGGTGATTAAGGTTTCAGTTCTGTTTTCTCTGTAATTACGTATGCTAAAGCCCCCCCACCAAAAAAAAACAAAACTGGATTTCTTTATAATATAACGTCCTGAAGATCCTGCTTGTTCAAATTATGCCCCGGCAGGTGGTGGTAGTCTCCAGTCCAGCCTGGTTCAGCTCAGCCTACGACCCAGAGGAGAGAAGGAAACACCTCTCCTCTCTTGTGGCGTTGTCCAGCCCGGGCCCACACGCCTTCCTGCTGTGTGTTTCTGTGAACCAGCCGTCGGAGGACGAAGGCAGAGCCCTCGACGTCCTGGCCCAGATGTTGGGCCCCGCTGCAGTCAGCACGTACACCACCATCCTCTTCACCCACACCGAGGAGCTGGACGAGGACGAACAGCTGGAGGGATACCTCGCCACGTGGCGCAAAGACCTCCTGGAGATGGTGGCGAGGTGCGGTGACCGTTACCACACCCTGGAGAGCCGAGGCGGAGGAGCGGAGGAGAGGAGAGCCGTGGAGGAGCTGCTGGAGAAGGTGAAGGAGGGCGGGACCCAGCACTTCAGCTGCCCCCTCTACCAGGAGGCGGAGGAGAGGGTGAAGGCCAGGCAGGTGGAGATTGTGAGGCAGAGGAGGGAGGAGGAGCACGACTCTCCCACTGACCCAGAAGATGAAGTGACGGAGGAGGAGATGGAGGCGGTCCGGGAAGAGGCGGAGAGGAGCGTCGGGGGCTTCGCTTTGGAACTGGGTGGGATTTTTCCATCTTCTAGCGTCTCTCCTTCCTCCCACGCGTTCCACGGAGGACTGTGGGAGAGGCTGGTGGCCTGGATCAGGTGGCTGCCCTCTCTTGTGAGAAGGGATGCCTTGATGGGGGCCCTGGTCGGCCTGTTTGTGGGGGGGCCATTCGGAGGGATGGTTGGGGCCACTGTGGGCTCCGTGGCTTCTGAAGTGGGGAAACGAAAAACAGAAGAAACTGAGAAAAGTAAATAAGAGATGATGTCATTAATATATGCAAGAGGTTTGATGTCATTGATGATGTAACCCTGAGCTGTGGAGCTGAGCTGCTCAAACCTCTTCAAATAAATCGTCGTTCAGCTTTCACACTTCAACTAAAGCTGGAGGAACAATTCCTTGTGTCTCATCAAATCAGCCTTTCCCCCTGTGTGAAGTACTGGTGGCAGTTTTACAGTTGGGGCGTGCTATGCTGCACGTGGAATGTGGTGGTAGTGTCATGGTTTGGTCCTACTGGGCCACATCTGGAAGCTGGCAGTAGTACCGTAATTGCCGGTCTATAGAGCGCACCCGAATATAAGCTGCAAATTTTTTTTTTTTAATTGCACATATACAGTATAAGCTGCGAGTGTTCACGTTGTAACATGAGCGACATCACAGCTCTGAGAGAGCTGTGCAGCTCTTGTTGTAGATCAAGATTCAACCACCAGAGGGTGTTCACAGACTTTCTGTCACTGTTCCTCACACACAGTGAATCACACAGGTCTTCATGACAACTACCGCCCTCACTCATGGTTACTCTGCTGCTGAATGCTCTAACACATGATGAACACAAACTAGGCTAACAAGAACAGACTAATCACTAAAAGAACAATGCTAAACATCTAATAGAAATGATTCGCCTCCTGAGACCCGAGCTCTGGTTTGCGATGCATTTTTCATATCGCCAAGATATTTGTGATTAGATGGACCTGATTTGTGTAAAAATAAAGCTTCCTCTTTAAACAGGAAGTTGTATTTTGTTACATGGTTATGATATACTTTTGTAAAAAAAAAAAAAAAAAAAAAAAGTCCTCGGGGACAATGGGCTTATTTTATAGTGTAACACAACAACATGAACATGGCTTAACAAAGTATAAAACACTATTGAACAGAGTGAAGTATCTGGTACGTCAAAGCCAAAATGTAACGTCCAGGTCTCAGGAGGTTAACAGTGAATATGCATTTGATCCATAACTGAGGTCATGTGACCACATACCTGCAAACTAGTCGCTTTTTGGCGAAATTTACCAATTTCAAACTAAAATATGTAATTTACATGAATCGTCTAGATCTGAAGAGGTTTTTTTTTCGAGGGGGTCCTCAGAGGCATGGTGGATGGCATCATTTCACTTTAACAATCATCAGTGCTTGGTCACTTGGCTTAGGGGGTGCTCGTCTCGTGGTGGTGGTGGTGGGGGGTGTTGCTGATGAGGTGGAAGACACCTCTGTGTTGCATGTTAGCTTATGGCTACGTTAGTGACGTTAGCTGTTGACTGGGGTTGGGAGGCTGTGTGAGAGAAACGGAGCATGCAGCATCTTAGCTCTTCTGTGTTTTGTGCGTGGCAAGATTTATCCCTAAGATTAGAGCAGTCCAGCTGATAGAGTTCTAGAGCCTGAAGGAGAAAGAAGCCAAGTAACACAAGTTTTCTGGAAAGTAAAATAGTTAAAATCAGTGATGGGGAAGGAACAGTGGAGAAGAGAGATGGATGTTATTCCAGGAGGATTGTGAAGGAAAATAAAATAAAAGTTATGAAGTGTAGAAACTGTGGCGCCAAGGTTAAGGAACCTGTAAATAATTTTGTTGGGGACTGGCACCTATTATTCTACACCTCGGAAGTGAGTCTACATTTCTATCTCTGTTAATGCGACCCGAACCACAAAGTGGACCCCCGCAAAAGTTATGTCAAAACGACCGGCCTGGCTCGGAGATGTGTGCTATTACTTTTATTGGCAATTGGTGTTACCATGGCGACATATTTTGCTAACGAAAATGACACATTTCCCATAGGAAATGAATAGGAGAAAACTTTTCAAAGAAACTGAGTAACGTCGGGAGCCATTTTGGTTCAACATGCATGGAAGGCACCTATTATTATTATTATTATTATTGTTGTTATTATTATTATTAATTAGTAAAATAATTAACATAATTTATTAATGATCCATTTTAATAATTACAAATAATAACATTAATAATTATTAATATTAATAATTTATATTTAGTATTATTATAAATATTATCAAACATATTAATAGTTTATTATAATAAATGAATAACATATTAATAATTAGTTATTAATATTATTAATTACCATTGAGCACCGTGCTGGCTGTGCCTCTGTGCAGTGTTTGGGACTGAAATTAAGTGATTGAATAATGCTCGAGCCATGTCCCTCTTTAAGATAAAGGATTGATTATTATTCATTAATGTTTAAGACAAATTATTATTATATGAAGTATTATTTTGTGTGTGTGTGTGTAAATACATTTGAAACTTGTGGAGAAATTTTGTGGTTGTTGGGTTTCTTCATTTAATGGCACCCCAGATGGGACTCCTTAATAAATAAAGACATTGAATGTTTAAACCTGTTAAATAAAGAAATAAACAACTTTATTTGTAATAATAAAACAACCACAAAAGGATTACAAAATGGCTGCCCGATCTGCTACACTGGTGGAACTGGAACCAGCATGAGCAAATCAAGCTCTCCTGTTTGAATGCCCCACCAGTTATTCATTTTTTGGACATGGAACTGATGGAACTGCCCGAGCTTGTGGCTCCGCTGCACCCCAGCAGCTCTGCCCCGGGAAACAGGAGCACATGCAGTGAATCCATCACCAAATGCTGCTGATCAGGATGCCCGGGAACAGCTTAAAAACATGGTGGAGCACCAACACCACTTCCAGGAGGAGCTACGAACAAACTTTGAACGGTTTTCAAAAAGAACTCCGTCTCAAATGGAATCCGTGAACAAGTTCTCAGCTGCTTTTTGCAGAGAAAAACAACTTTTTGCACAAAGACACGGGTTGCAACCGCGAATTTTGGAACTTCGACAAGACGGAGGTTCCCCTCCCCCACCCCCCACCCCCCTTCCGAGGTTGGCCTGTTAGCTTAGCTTCTCAGCTTAGCTGCTTTTAATCATCCAAAAACAAGATTTTGGATCGTTAAAATGTATTTTAAAGAGAAAGGGAGAGGTCAGTGAAGAGCACCGGAGGTAATCTTGTTGTCGTCCAGTGTCTTCAATAGAAAGAGAGAGACACGGAAGAAACGATAAAGTCGATAAATGAAAATGAGATCAATAATTTTCATTTATCATGTGATTAATTGATTTCTTGTTTATCATGACAGACATGTCATGAAGACCTGTGGGTTCACTCTGTGTCACGAGGGCCCACCCCTCAAGGGAGACGTGTGTTGAGCAGCCGTCTGAACATCCGGGTGTGACGAAGTTAAATGTTTTTAGTGGCAAAAAGCTCGTTAGCCCGTCAAAAAATAATAAATAAATAAACTAGTTGCAGCATTGTATAAGCCGCGGGGTTCAAACCCTGTGAAAAAAGTAGCGCCTTATAGACCGGAAAGTACGTTATTAGAGTTTGGGCCTGCTTTCCTGCCTACATCTGTAAACTGGTGGTGGTAGTGTTATGGTTTGGGACTGCTGCAAGTACAACCATTAAATCTTAATTATTACACTTACGGATTCTTTAAAAAAAAAAATTTTTTTAGGCAAGACAAATCTGGGCATGGTTCTAATCTAGATAAAAGTACTCAAGTAATTCTACGAACAGATGTTCTGGACAAATAAGTGTTTATGCTTTTGAGGAAATGGATGGATGTTCTAGTGTTCCACCTGAATAAACACAAACTCTTTGCAACATGACGTAAGAAGTGATGAAAGTATAAATTACAGCTTGGACAAAGAAGGATATTTAAGCTATAGGAACACAGTGGGATCGCTCCGCTCCTCCACGTGCTTCATTTTCAGTAAAGTCCCGTTCTATCAGCTGCTGTTTGTTCTGAATCTCTCGCTGCGTCTTCTGTTACGGTGGCTTCTTTAAAGTTTAAATGATTTTGACACTTTCTTTCACTGCAGTGAGATGTTCCAATAAATTGAGTTAAATCATTTTCTGTTGACGGGAAGAAACAAAATGGTTCTTTTTTCCTACATTCCTGGGCTGGATGAAAATGTTTTTTTGTTTCTGGGTAGAGGTTTTTTCTTTTCATTTTGTGAAGTTGTCATTTCCCTGTATGTTCCTCCATCACTGTAACCACTCACTCTTTCTTCTTGTGTTGCCGCTTCAGTTAAGATCATAAATTCAAGTCATGCTTTCACAGGATGCGTAAAAGTGATGTAACATTTGGATTATTTACATGAATTAATATTCTCTAGTTTATTTGTGAACCATTAAATCATTGGGTTTTCAGACAGGGGCCTCAAATGTGTTGAATTAACGGGATTTTGAGGATACGTAACATTTTTGTTTGGTTTTAATATCAAAACCTAAGTACTTTATTAAAAATATGTATGAAGATCCTTGTTAGGTTTTAATAAATCAATAAAACATTTATGTAGTCTTAAAAAGCATGAAGTTAGGTTTCAATATATATATTTTTTAGGCCTGATTAAGAATGGGGGGAAAAAGGAATAAAAATATTAGCATTTACAGATTTCCATTTTTCAAAATATGCCATTACAAGATTTAAAATATAAAACAGCTTAACCAAAAACATGATTTTCATAATTTTATTAAAAGATGAACATAGTGGGGTTCATCTTATGTAACACTGTGAGGGAAGATTTTCCACATGTCAGCTGATTTGTTGCTTTTTCCCTTTGACCTGGATTTAAATGAGAGTTTTAGTTAAAAAAAAAAAAAAAAGCTTTTAAACAAAACTGGGACTATACTGGCAGCTGTGGCTGAATGGTTAGAGCAGTCGTCCTCCAATGCGAGAGTTGGAGGTTTGAATCCGAATTTTCGAATATAAATACACGTGTGAGTATGTGTATATACACGTCTATATATATATATATATATATATACACATATATATATATATATATACATATATATATATGTGTATATATATATATATGTGTATATATATATATATATGTG